AATGTATAGCAATTACGCATACATTGATATCTTGTCTTCCTACTCTCGTTATGCATACATACAAGTATGTTTGTCATTTATACAGCATAAATCATTCACTCGGACTGGTCAGGTCTTGCTGATTTTTTTTTTTTTTTTTTTTTTTTTTTTTGTATTTCCGCTTCTAAAAATAACATCTATGGTTGACCGCTATGGAGCGCACGTGAAATAGTTCTTTAAAACGGTAAATTTTTTACCCTATTTATATAGAAAATTATAGTATACATGATCGAGTTAATATGTGATGTCGCCTCACATTTCTGATTTTGAGAAGGAGCAATCCTTGGTCGTGATATATGAACGAACAGGCTTCAGTGTTTCAATCAGAAAGAGAAATGCGGAAGAGACTTCAGTTATGTCACTCATTACTAAAGAAAGAGATAACAAGCCGACTGGAAATACCGCTGATCCAACCAGTCCTAAAGGTCATGCCGCAAATTACGAAACAGTTCAGAGGGTTGAAAGGCGAGAGTCCAAGAAGTGCCAAGATGCCATGTGCATGCGTACAGCCGCCACATATGCACGCGGATATTGTGCTTCTCATTCAGTGCGTCACTATTGACGCGATTCTTTTCGTTTGGAATCACATTGAGTTTACTGAGCAATAACGTTGACTTCCCCCCATTCCGCTAACGCATTCCGTCCAGCTTTCATAGGTTGACAGAGAACGGCCATTGTCTACAGGTGAAGAGAAGGCTGCGATATAAACTGGGGGACTCAGGGTGTTAGGAATGAACCTCTCAAAATAGACTTTGGTGATATGGTAAGTAAAATGCTGGTTCAGATATATGTTCGCTGTTTGAGTTAATGCTGCAGTCCCTGAAGTCATTTTAAGTCTTAATCAAAGAACTCTGTAGACGAACTGCTTCTAGAAATGCTGGGATGTGTTATTTGTTGAATGATTTCTTCAACTGGAAATTACAGAACCCAGTTATGGTAAGAGAAATGATTATGTGAGCATTGCTGCTAATTTATGACAGACATTATTTTGACAGGCTTTTAATTCTGCTTAAATACTTGCTCTATTTAAACGCCCTTAAGTCGTCTTATAACAAGGGTTGCTAGTAAAACGACATTCACTGCTTGACGTCCACATCTTTAGTGTATTTTGAAGGTTGTATAGTATGGCTGGTTTTGATTCTTGAATTCTGTCTTTTCTTTTTGAAGTTTGTTTACTTAGATTGTTTCAAATTGTTGACGAGATCAGTGTTAGGAATATTGTATGTGATTTTTCAGATGGCAACTTTTTTAGGATCGTATCTATTACCTAACAAAAACCAATCACATGTTATTGACAGTGAGATATTGTGTTGTGTCAAAAGGAAACGTGCAAATAAACGTGCATGTAGAACGGATGTTTAGCATTCTTGATTTCTAAATACTCTCCATTGCCGAGAGTCTTGCTTCTACGCAGCTCATTCAAGTGACTTTAAAGGGATAAATCGTCGATAAAAAACATTAATTCTTTCTTAACATTTAGGTTTTGTATTATCATGTTAACAGTGGAATCAACTGATGTAGGGATTACTATAACTACGGTAAGTCAGTGTGGGATAGACAAGATTGGCGGCGCTTAAAAGAATCGCATTAGTACATACATGCATACTTCAATCACAGCCTTGTGTGAAAATTAACGCCTTCGAGACAATAATTTTCAGTAGGTTACAGAGCATACAATCTGAAACAATAGCCAATTAAGATGATACCAGCAATTTTCTTCAAGTGTAATATGCTCAAGTTCGCACATGCACATTTACATTTTTACTGCATATAGCCTACCGTTTGTGTGCCACTGCATGCGTAAGCATGTGCGTATTTGTGTACGTGTGAATGCATACTCTGTTGTATGTGCTCTTTCGGTATCCGATTTGCATTCTGTAACTGCATACAATTTACACTAACTTATTAAAAAATGCGCAGCATGTATACCCCATAAGTGATACACTGCTATAAAATAGCTACTTATACCTTCAGTAGTGGCCGTCCAGATACGCTTTCCCGTGGATGTGAGCTTAAAGGTATCGTATCCGGAATATTTGCGTCAAATATGATTTACCCCCAAATAGAAATCAAATTTTTCACCTAATCAGTAATCAATGCTCGACCAGTCCCTGCACTGGGATTTGTTTGTTCAATATAATTTTCAATTAAAAGATTTCGTTTCAATTTTCTTGCTATACATTTAGACCGACACATCCCCAGTATTATTTCCGCGGTTCCCTTTATTTGAGGGGTTTTATAATTTCTGTGAACGGAGTTGGCAAATATTATTAGCTTTACAGGATATTTAGATATAAAATTTGCTTTAAGGACATTTCAAACGTGCATTGTGTACCTTGAACATTTACCTATCATGGTATTAGAAAGATACACATTGAAATGTTTACTATTGAACATGTACAACCAACACGCTTATTTCAGCCCCTTGACACTCCCTAATTAAAAAACCTTGCGTATCCCTACCGAAAATTCAACATCAGGCCGCTGTTATGAAAGCATGGGGCGGTTTACCTTGACGTGTCAGAGCAGTCAGATCAATGCAGTAGTCGCCCATCAGTGACAGTGTCCAAACCGATTGACTGCGTAGAACCAAGTAAAATTCAAAAATGCGTTATTATCGTTTATCATATTATTATCCAGTAAGTGGTTTTACATCATAAAATGAAATAAATCAATAGTCAAACATGTACTAGTATGAAAGAGACGTTTCTAGACAGAACCTTGAAATAATCAAGTATCTAAGTGATAGATTTGCGACTGTTTGTGGCTTCCTGGTATTTTGTTCAATGCACTAACAATACACGAATCTGGCACGCCAATGCAAGCAGGAAACATAAGCGCTGAGCTGACAACGCCCGGAAGAGATTTCAGATTTCATCAGTAGGTTAGAAATTGCGGTATCCAACATTAAGATAACTTTTGGTTTCATGTAATGCCGTGAAACGAATGATGGTTTATTTATTAACATTTTAAGTATAAAAGCATACAATTGTGTTAAGGTTTTACCAGATGTATGTTCAACAAATAAGACATTACACTAATAACTATCGAAAAAGAAATTAAGACAATACAAGTAAAAAATCTTGGATTTAAATATATTCTTTGTTAATACGAACAAATCTATAAATGAAATACCTTCGAAATGGTATGTTTTCAGTTCTTTTTGTAATGGCTCCTGTCACTTTATTTGTCATAAATGAATACGCACTCTGGTGCAGCTACAAGTACACTGTTTATAATATGCTGTCACCATGTGTTTAAACAAACCTTAAAAATTCTCTGTAAAAGTTTGTCATCAGACCTTTGAGTTTGTTGACGATTATGATGTTTAATCAGATTTTTCTGTATGGCGGAGCTAGACGATAAAATGCAGTGTGTGCAAAGTGCTAGTCCGATTTGGTAGCAAGTGCAACTGTTTCAAAATTGGAGTAACTTGGCAATCTCTAGGGTGTGGTGTTTAGAGCCCCCTTTACACTGGACGGCGTCCTTTCTGCGTCCCACAGTAGGGTCCCGTTTTAGAGTAAAAAAAAAAAATACTTGGCGTGCCAAAAACAGGCGGATCATTGAGCATTCATTCTGCAACCAAATCGATGCTTGTGCCTCCTTTCTACGACCACAGTGATGCCAGTTTCATGGTCGCACAAAGGACACAGAAAGGACGCCATCCAGTGTAAAGGGGGTTTAAGGGCGTGCACTAGATGTTACCCCTCAATCTTATCTGTATACCAATATAAGACATAGGTACAGAAACCAAGCCTAAGTGTGACTAATGCATGTTTAACCAGTATAACGTGCGTGTATAATATGCATAACATGTAAGGCGGACCCAGATGTTTTCTTCGGTGCAATAATTAAATACACACGTCGAATAGACACGAATAACTATCATTGGAGATCTGAGTTACCTGTCCATTGTGTAGAATCCAAACGCACTAATGATTTTTTAAAGTAAGTATAGAGGCTTTTGTCAAACGGCACATATTCTAAGCTACAGGTTCTATTCATGGCCATTGTTATGATGAGCAAAAATTACAAATTCAGTTTTGCCACCATTATCTTTAATTTGTCTGCAATAAGCCATCCCCTGAGGCTGATATGCAGTTTACAGTTCACTGACAATGCTGGATCACGAATGCTACCATATGTGAACAATTGGGTGTGGTCCGCATGAATAAGATCTTATCACCCAGACTAGCACCAACGGTTAACAGGAAAACAGAACTTTAGAAAACCAAGACTGCTGAAATGGGAACACAAAATTAAAGCTGTAAAGGTTCAAAAACTCTCCTTAGAGGATAAGATTGTAACCCCAACTCTCTGTTGGAGAAATGCCACCAGAACATGATCTACAGTGCCAAAGGCAGCTGACATATCTGGAAGCACCAACAACATCGAAGAGTGCTTGTCAACGCCACTATAAATTAATTCAATTCTCAAAAGCGCCGATAAAGTGCTATGATTGACTTTGAAGATTTTTTCTACGGGGTTGTTTGCTTCTGAATGTCAAAATCTAACAGCTACGCAGTATATCCCTCTCAATTATCTCTGACAGGAATAACTGACAGGATTTTGTCAAGGTTTTGTTTTTTCGGAAGCGGTTGAATTAGTGTTTTTAAACATATTAGGAAAACATCTCCTTGTGAATCATCTGTTGGTGAAATGCATGATCAGGTCTGTATCAATTCGAGATAACCATAGTAAATGAGATCTTTCTTCGGGAAATGTAGTATATGACGTCAACTTATTCTCGTAATGAGCATTGTGTGGGGGATCAAGCACCATAGCCTGACTTGCCTCTCAATGAAAAGAGATTCGCAAATAAGCCGCAAACCATGGAGTCACGTTTCTTTCACACGGGGAAATTTTTCAATATTTCAATTTTATTAAAATCTTCCAGAAAGGCGAGGCTCACACTAGGCAAAGACAGACCACTTTTAACACACCCTGTTTATGACTTTCAGGCCGGATACATACATGATGTCCAGCAGCTCACTCCAGTGCTACAGTCCCAATAGCTCTCGAGGCTCCAACCGCTCCGTTCCAATACCCCTGGAGCCGCTGAAACAAGGCCACCGAATGGATCCCCACGAGAGGATTTTCCTGGACGCCGCAGAAAGAGGAGACAAGGCCACAATGATAAGGTATTGAAAATCGTACTAGTATGTTGGGGGTTTGAAGTTAGCGCATAGCACTTTACAAATCACCTAAACACCGCTCTTGGACAAATCATTCGCACCTTTTGTCCAAGTGCTGTTTAAAGATCCCTAAAAGCTGGACCAGCATAGGAAATGACTTACCCGGGCATACGGTGTAAAAACTAAGATAAAGAGACCCACTCTTCAATATATTCCCGTGTAAAAAAAATACCTCATGACACCTTGTGAAATTGTACAAGTCGATGGTTTAATTGGGATATTGTTAATATTGAGCAGAGATTATGGAATCTTTACAAATCTTTACCGATGCGGTAGTTGCACTATTACAGTTTGAATGCATTATTAGAATGTTGCACGAATTTTACAAACAAGAATTCTACAATGATAAGTATGTCTTTAATACATTCTCTTTTCTTCTAACAGTATCGTGTTGCAATTATTTCAGTGTGGCGTAATATAGCACTGTATATTTATGTTTCTCTTCTTTATCAGATGTTTGCAAGGACCAAACAAGGTCAACGTTAACTGCACCAATATTCTTGGTCGATCAGCCATCCAGATTGCGGTAGATAACGAGAACGTTGAAATAGTGGAACTTCTTCTCCAGCAGGATGGCGTCAAGATCGGAGATGCTCTATTGTACGCCATTCGCGAGGGTGTGTACAAGATCGTAGAAATGCTTATAGACCACCATAGTATCAGTAGGGACATGCTTGGGATGGACTGGAGTCAAAATCAACCGCCAGGAGAAGAAAGCGCGGATTATTCTGCAGACATCTCTCCGGTTATCTTGGCCGCTCATTGCAACCAGTTCGAAATTCTCCAGTTGCTCCTGTCGAGGGGCGCCAAAATCGACAAACCTCATGACATCACCTGCACGTGCACGCGTTGCCGCAATCAGGTCATCAGGGACAGTTTACGACACTCACTACGAAGAATTCACACATACCGAGCCCTGGCCAGTCCGGCCTGGATCTCCCTCACCAGTTCGGATCCAATATTGACCTCGTTTAAACTTTCGTGGGAGCTCGAATGCCTGGCGTCAAGGGAAAATGAGTTTAAGGATACGTACATGCAACTGAGTGAGCAATGCAAAACATTTGCTTGTGATTTGTTGGATCAGTGTCGGACCACAGAGGAAGTGATAGAAGTCCTGAACAGAGATCACCACGATAATATTAACGGCGACGAAAGATATCCCGACCGCTTTACCTTGGACAGATTGAAATTTGCAATAAAATATGAGCAGAAGCAGGTAACTTGATGGAAAGGTTTCCGGTTTCGTATGGGAAGCCTAGTGGTTGTAGTAATGTTTATTTGGCACACTGCAAAAATTCATTACTTAGAGTATAGTTGCTACTTTAAAACTTTGTTATTAGGTTTCTCATAGACTAAAGCCGCTAAAATGAAAATTATTAACCTCGTCTTTTGAAACGGAAGATAGATTCTAATGGATAGACAATTCAATTCGATTTGACAAAATCAATTCAAATGTGCAAAAACAAAATTTTTATGCCCTTTTTTTGCCAAACGGTAAAAAATAACAAGATAATGTGGGCGATCCCTTAGTCGAGGAAGCGATCAACCGTTGTTCTGCAATTAGAAGTAATTCCTTTCTCATTTCAGTTTGTCGCTCACCCCCACTGCCAGCAGCTTCTTACGTCAATCTGGTACGCAGGTCTTCCGGGCTGGCGGAGACGCAATAGCATCATGAAATTCCTTACCTGCGTTGGTCTCATATTTCTCATGCCATTCCTCTCCTTCGTCTATCTCATCTTTCCCAGAAGCCGCATCGGGCAGCTGGTCCGGAGTCCTTTTATGAAGTTCCTATACCACAGCACGTCATTTGGCGTGTTTTTGTTTCTGTTAGCCAGCGCCTCGGCCAATGACAAAGAAGGAAATGCCCGGAAGCGAGGCCCACCACCTACCGCACTGGAAGGGCTGATTGTAATCTTTGTTACAGGTTATTATGTACACAGTAGATTTATAAATGTACTGGCATGTGCCAATGTTTCAGTGGTATAGGAATAATTGTGTTGAAGGCAATGCTTATGACTTATTGACAAGAGACATTCTGAACAGGTACATTTATTTTCTATTAAGGCTATTTTCTATCAAATTTATTTAGCAATCTGTTTTTGGTGTTTGAAAGAGTGGTTTATGACTTTCAGGTTTCATTTGGGCAGAGTGCAAGCAATTATGGGAGGAAGGCTTGAAGGCCTACATACGGCAATGGTGGAACTGGTTGGACTTCATCATGCTGTCCCTTTATCTGTGTACCTTCTCTCTACGGACAGTGGCGTTCATACAAATCCAATCCGGAGATTATGGCCCATCCGAACTTGACCGGAAGTACTGGCCCATGGAAGACCCGACTCTGATCTCCGAGGGTTTATTTGCTGTGGCCAACGTGTTCAGTTTTGCACGAATCATTTACCTTTTCCTGGCCAATCCAAACCTTGGTCCGTTGCAGATTTCTCTTGGGTGCATGTTGATTGACATTGCTAAGTTCTTGTTTATTTTCATGCTAGTGTTGGCGTCATTTGCATGCGGACTTAACCAGTTGTATTCGTCTTATCAACCACCTGATGGATCCACAGCGCCGTTTTACACGTATGTATTCTTTGAATAAATCCCATAAACCAGTTTCCAATCATCTTTGTAATTGTTGAATGGAATTATTTGTGATTTTGTAAAATTGTCGACTAGATACACATATTTTTATATTTTCATACACACGAAAGCTCAGGAAAAGCAAGAATGCAATTTGGATTACGATTTAAGTAGATACCTTTGTTGATAGTATAAATGTCAACCATCATCGCAATGAAGAGCATCCTTTTTTCGTCTTGCCTATAGTTTGCATTATCAAAAACAGCCCTGTATTTGCTCTTGGATCGGAACTCATGAAATTCTTTAACGTTCCATAAACCATCATAAACCCAAATTTTACAACAGTTCTTGGTGTCTCCAGTGTTTAATAAGGTTGACTGTTCCTATTTCCCACCCACACTGGTTAATTTTTTTTTCATCCAGGCTAGACCAGAGTGTAGGCACGTTAATTTGGTCGCTGTTCGGTTTGACACAGTTGAAGGACATCAACATAAAAGATGGACAGCCGTTCACCAAGGGGATTGGGGAGTTGCTGTTTATGGTGTACCATGCCATGGCAATCATAGTCCTAATCAATATGCTAATTGCCATGATGTCAAGTTCCTTTCAGGACATTGAGGTAAGTAGCTTGGCACGGGTATTGTCCTAGAATCAATACATACTTTCCAGCGATGATCCCTTTTCGTTTACAATGCCAGAACCTGGACAGGCACACATAAACGTTGAATGAATACCCATACATAAACATTGAATGAATACCCATATATTTTTGGTCTGAAATTTTCGAATTCCATTCTGCATTTGACTTATTTCATCGTACATTTTATTTAGCTGCAGACGTTTTCAATCCGTGATTTAATCACGTACCAATATACAAAAAGTACATCTGTGAAGTAATTACTTTACCATAAAACAATTGGATATATATTTCAGAAACATCCATACAGCTTTGGTCAGTGTTTTATCTTGAAGGGCCCTACACACCTTTATTTGAATAATTTGTACATTTGTGTACCTTCCACAGGCACATGGCGACCGTGAGTGGAAATTTGCGCGTACAAAACTTTGGACCAGTTACTTCGACGAAGGGTCTACGCTATCGCCCCCTTTCAACCTCCTAGTTAGCCCCAAATCGGTGTACTATTGCATTGTAGCTATAAAGGACAGTGTATGCAAATGCCGGGAACGATTCCACCGGAAGTCAGAGGAGCAATCCAAGGTAAAATATAGATGGCAGTACTGGCACTGGGCACTTACCATAATAGTTTACACAGACAAGGTTACATTTCCACAGTTTTGTTCTGTTAATCTTGTTGTGTTGAAAATCCCGCGTCATTCCTATCCCTATGTATATGTTCCTGCTATTGATTGCAGCGTGTGTATGGGGAAAGTTGAACAAAAATGAATTAAAAAGCAAAGCAAACATTGATCCAGTTACCCCTACTCTGTATATACGAAAAGGGTTTGCAAAGCGTTTCTGAGCGATAATGTTTAAACTACGAAAAAAAGCGTGTGCGATCAATTTATATCTGAAAGCCTCACTTAATATCCATAACATAATATGATATTGAAAACTATGTATAATTCTGATACCGGAACTTAAGTTGGTAACTGACCGACTTTGCGGTCTCAGCCTGATGCCTTTCACTAGTTAATGTCCTGGATGGGATGGCCACCCTATTTATTGTCATATACATAGTTGTCGTTATAATTCTTCTGGATGACTGAAAGCATTCACTAATTATTTGATATTTTCCTGAAATCACATATTATTATTTATTTTATGTTATATTTTCTTCTGTCGTGCAGAGAACAGCGAATGGGAAAGTTAATACAGACTCCAGCACCGTTTATACGGGTCCAAACTACAAGGTACTGGAGAATTTGAGTTGTGAACAATCAAAGTAAACAAGGCCTACTTTCCTTTCACACCGAATTCACGATTGCTTATTAATAAATGCTTTGGTCACTTTGAATATCATTTGATGCAATTTAGTGTAAGATGGACTTTTGTGTATATTCACCAAAGAGGAAGGTTATTAAATAAAAATAGTTTCTAATGGTATGCATTACATTATTTCGTTCTTGAATACAAGTTTAACAAAGTATTAAAACAACATGATAGTCAAAATAAAAAAAGGCATCATGTAGTTTCACTTTCTGCTTGAATAATACGAAAGTAGGTGTTTTTGAGTCTATGGAACTTGTAAATAAATGGCTAATTTGCACGATTTCAAAACTAGAAATAAAGAAGTGCTCATTTTACTAGCCAAAAATAATTTTAAACCCGTGTTGATTTCAGGACATTATGCGGCGCCTAGTAAGTAGATACATCCTACAGTTTAAGAAGCAGAGCAGCCAGGATGGAGTCAATGAAGATGATTTGTTAGAAATCAAACAGGATATATCGAGCCTGAGGTACGTCACATCCTTATTATCATCCACATGATCACTTCCTGCAGTTTAGATAAGTTGATCAATAGGTCGGATGCACTACTTAGGTTACTATTTTACGTAATAACCACAACATTAAGTTCTCAACCTCTCAAAGTGCACTGGTTCGGATTGAATTATTTAATGCCGCTCGATGTGAAAAGGGCCATGGAGGCTTACTGATGGTAGAAACCAGCATTGTCGCCTAATGCCTGGGTATAATGTATAATCTGCCCCCCCCCCCCAAAAAAAAAAATAAAAAATAGGAACGCAATTTTTTTGTATCTTATTGCTATAATGATAAACTTTGAAAATTTCATACAACTTTTTAAATTTTCAATTATTAAAAATTTTTTCATTGGCTAAATTTTTTTTTCTAGGTTTGAGCTACGCGAGGACCGTAAACGCGAGAGCGGCATAACAACTGCTCATATGGAGAGAATTAAGAAAGATATCATGAAGATGCTTCAGAATAACAATGCCAGTTCCAGCCAGCTTCACCCGACCAGCCCAGTGCCCAGTTTGTCCGAGTCCCGGAGCATTAGCCCAGTAACGCATTACACGCAGAATGACCAACGCCCAAATGCCCTGCAGTTGTCCCCCCACGCGCAGCACGAGACACAAGCCCAAGTAGAGCAGCAGCCCCCTCATCACGACTTAAATCTTGGGAAACTCCAGACGCACCAACCGGCACAGGTTTCGAAGCGCGATTCGCCCCCTGATCATTATGAACTGACGCAGACGCGGTTCGATACCCAGCACGACCAAATGGCACAACAGCAAAAACTGTTGGAAGAGCTAAAACGTGATATCATCGAGAGCGTTAGAGCGGAGGTCAGAGGTATACTTACGGAGAACGCCAGCTTAAAAGCGCAGCTGCAGGCGGGGGTGACGCTCTCGGCAGTGGACTTGCTTCCGCCTTTCAACTCCGAATTGTATCACACTCATTTGTACACTCAACTTTAAAGTGCCGAAATAATTCTAATTACATTGCACTGTTTATGCAAATGTCTGCAAGGGAGAACTTCTGGACGCAAAAAGACATGAGAAAATTAAGACTTGCATGGATTGTGACATTCCAAGTTGCACCGAATTTTCAATTTTATACAGTAGTCTTCAGTTGAGTGTAAAATGAGGGTTTGATCATATTAAAATCGCAATTTCAAAATTTGGTTATTACTTTGTAGGATTATTGATGGTAAATTGTAGACAACGGAGGAAAATTTTCCAAATGCGACATTCAGATATAGTACACAAGAATGTCAGAGCTAAAGCGGATACATTTTTTTGTTAAGTATCACCAATAAAAACATTTTTAAGTCACCTAATCCGTTAATCTCTCCATTTATATATTTGAACACAGAATACCAAAGTATACAGTTTCAGGGCAGATTTTTAAAATAGAGCGATATTTTTGCTTCAAAGACAAACAGGTTTCAGAAATTAAGTGGCGTTTTCCACAAATGTCCAAATATTGTAAATTTTAAATCAGATCTTAAAAATAATCGCTTTATTTTGATAAAAATGTCTATAGGCTTTAAGGACCAGTTAACGTTGATTTGTATGATACATTCTTTACTTACAAAATGGTTATTGAATGAAAGTTACAAAAACATTTTAAAATCAGTTTGATTTTATTTGGCCATACATTGCAGTTTGGACTGGAAACAACATTTCTGTAAGATAGTTCAATATTTATTAATATAATTTGGCTTTAAAATATAAAGAATGAACGGGATCACAGAAAAGAGCCCTTTCAGTCACCTTCAGTGCTTAAATTCTTTTTAAGTGACAAAAATACACATTCATCATGCATATTTTTGTCAGTTACAAAGAATCTACAAACATTAATGGTATACAGAAAAACCTTTTACACTTATACCTACACACACAAACTCGCTCATCTTTGTTACACGTTAATTTGGTAACTTAACACTAAGTTCTACTTCAGAGCAAAACCATCTTGTAAAATTTGGTAACACAGATAATCAAAAAGGTTAACTTTTAAGAATAATTGTTAGTTCGTGTATTTTCATACGCCATATAATTCTACCCAGAATAGCATCACAAACTAACCAGTTTCTCTAAATAACATACTAAAAATATTGATATGATTCTGACACTTAGTTTCCAAGTAACTGTTAGTGTTAAAAGGAGTACTACAGAAATATTTTGGAACTTTCTGCTTTGTAATTTTCAGACTATTCAAAACACAACAAACAAGAAAACATTCTTTTCAAATTTAAAACTTAACAATCAGAAAGCCATACATGAGGAGGAACCAATCTTCTCAACAAATTCTCAAAAAAGGAAAATGAGCTCAGAACCAGAAAAATTAACTGTGAGAATGAGTCTTGCATTCTAAATAATGGAATCTAAAATATTGCCTCTACAACTCAGATTTACATAATCTATAAAAATTTTGAGAACATGAATCAATATAAACAAGTGCAAGAGGTAGTCCCAAAGAATAATAATTCATGAAACTCACCAGGTCCGGTGTGAAAGGAATGCATGTCCAACAGGAGAGAAGGGCCACATGTCCTACGAACATGCATTATCTAGGATGTACTGTCCTACCCGGACCCAGATTCCCAGACTAAAATAAATTTAACCGAACAAAATGTTTCTCGGTGAAATTGTAAATAACATTATCTCACTTTAAAGTTATAAATTGCATTTTTTTTTACCAACAACACATAAACAAAGCAACATCCAGAGGCACCAATTCCCAATTTAGAAGAATAGGTCAATACTAGAACTTGGCATAGACCAAGAATGGAGAGAAAAGAACAGTGGTCGCTGAGAAATTACATGCTAATTTTCAGACTAAAAACTGCCAAAGATAAAGATGTGAAGTTTTCCTGTTTCTATCATTAGACAGTGAATGAAATAGATGAAACAATAAATGATAAATAAATAAATTAATTAATAAATAAGCTCTCTTCTGATACACCAACCACTGGTACTATTTATAAAAGATGTACCTAAATGTGATGGGATTTCCCTATAGAAATCATTAGTTGCACCTTAGCAGCAAACAATGATCTAAGGAAAAGGACTCTCACAGAAGATTAGGTTTTTTAGAGACAGGAGAACCTTCTATCCGGCAGTAAATGTAGATTTTGGATAAGAAAAAGGACCCTAGAGAAGCAATCCAGCATAAATAGATCTTCTTTATATCAAAGGGGAATCAAAACATTTAAGGGTTATATCAATCAAATTGTGCAAACAACAATGATCTTAAGGAAAGGACTCTCACAGGAAAAAGTGTTTACGCACAGATTTGGTTTTTAGAGACAAGATATTTTGGATAAGAAAAAGGATCAGACAAAAGCAATCCAACATTAATAGATCTATTTTAAAACAGAGATGAATACAAACAAGACTCACTTTTAATATACCAACCACTGATTCTATTTATAAAAGATATACCTAAATGTTATGGGACTTCCTCATAAAAATATGATCAGTGGCACCTTAGCAGCAAACAATGATCTAAAGGAAAGGACTATTACAGAAGATTTGGTTTTTAGAGACGGAAGATCCTTTTATTCGACAGTAAATGTAGATTTTGGATAAGAAAAAGGATCAAATATACATACAAGCATAAACAGGTATTTTTTATATCAAAGGGGAATCAAAACATTTAAGGGTTATATCAATCATGGTGTGCAAACAAAGGACTCTCACAGGAAACAAGTTTAGTCACAGATCTCGTTTTCAGAGATGGGAGAGCCTTTTATTCGGCAGTAAATGTAGATACTGGATAAGAAAAAAGGATCATACAAAGGCATCCCAACATTAGACTTAATGTAAATCAGAGATGAATACAAACAAAACACTTTTCTTATATACCAACCACTGGTACTTTTTATATAAAATGTACCTAAATGTAGTGGGAATTCCATACAGAAATATGATTAGGTGGACATTAGCAGAAATCATAAATGATATAGTGAAAAGGACTCTCACAGAAAAAACAAAAAAGGTTTTCTCATAGATTTGGTTTATAGGGGTTATCAGAGAGGAATAAAAACAAAACACTTGTTATATGACAACCACTGGTCCTATACATAAAAGATGTACATAAATGTGATGGGATTTCCTCATAGCAATATGATCAGTTGCACTTTACCAGCAAACAATGATCTAAAGGAAAGGACTCTCACAGAAAATTTGGTTTTTAGAGACGGAAGAGCCTTTTATTCGGCAGTAAATGTAGATTTTGGATAAGAAAAAGGATCATAAATACATTAAATCATAAACATATTTTTTTATATCAAAGGGGAAACAAAACATTCAAGGGTCATACATACATTAAAGCATAAACATATATTTTTTATATCAAAGGGGAATCAAAACATTCAAGGGATAAGAAAAAGAATCATACAAAAGCAATCCAGCATAAATAACTATTTTATATCAGAGGGGAATAAAAACCTTTAAGGGTTATATTAACCATGGTGCGCAAAAAAAAAAAAAAAAAAAAAAAAA